CGGCCATGGCGGGGTTGCGCGGGCTTTGGCGGGGGTGCGGGTCGGGCCCTCCGTGCGCAGCTCCTGCATGGCGGCCGCGGGGCGGGCTAGGCCCGGGCCGTTGCGCGGGAACCTCGCTGAGCCTTCAGACGAGGAGGAGGAACCGAGTGGCCGGGAGGGAGGAGGATCCCGCCATAGCAGGCCTGCGGGAGAGGGCTTGCGCTCTTGTTCGGGCTGCTGGGAGGAGAGAGGCCTTGTGTTTGGGTTTCGGCGCAAGGGGGAGAGGCGGTGTGCGCCGTGGCGTGTTCTCCGCGGGGGAGCAGGGGGGTCTGGGAGGCCGCGATCTCCCGTGGGGAAAAAGAAAAATCATGTGTTGGGGGAGGCGGGGATTGTGGAATTCTGCTTTTTTGAGTAGAAGGCTGCTGGCTTGCACGAAGGGAGATGAGACAGATGTTAGTAGTTTGGAAGACAAGTGTCTCTGGATCTCTTCCTGAGTCTGGTGTTGGGGAAGGAAACTTAACTATCTGGAGGCTGTAGCACAAGGAAGAACCATAAGACTTTTGAAACTGAGGATTTTGCTAAGAAAAGCTTGATTCCTTCTGTACTTACTCAAAGGAGTTCCACAGTTCCTGGGGGATGCTAACCTAAACAGTACTATTGTTTAGTAGTACTTATGTATTTTTTGTTAATGTGGTGATTCATTAGTTTTCTGCAATAAATAGCTCAAACAAGACTTCTATTTATTATTATTATTATTATTATTATTTTATTTTGGAGTGGGGTCTCTCCCCACGTATGGTCGAGCTTTAATGAATGATGACTTTTAGTGACACCCATAGTTGTATTGTAAGTTATTTCACAAAAAATCAATGGTAGTTAAAAAGTTCCTATAGCTGCTTCTGGGAGAGAGGAATACTCTGCTGAAATACTCTCCCCCCCTCCTTCACGATATATTTTTTTGAGTTACAGTATCCGTTAAAAGGAAGTGTCATGGTTGTGGTAGTTTGTTTATTACCTGTGTGATGGGGATTTCTGTTGTTTAATCTGCAAAAAGCATTTAGCTCCTCCCCCCCCCATAGCGTTTTCTTGGGATGTTGTTAAATGGGGAGGAGGAAGAAGTGCTTGCTTTGGGCTGTTCTAAATTGCATCTTAATCACAGAGGTGGGAATTTCAAGTTTTCAAATGAGAGTTATGTCATTTTAAAGATGGCTAATACATGTTTTAATTTGTCTCAGAATGCATTAGATAAGGACAAATATCTGTCTGGCCTTAGATTTTGCAAATGCAAGCAAACCCCCACCCACCCCGCCCTGCTTGAAAAATACTGCTATATAGGTAAGCTGTGCACGTCAGGAGGAAATTGTGAGTTCAGGAAGTTTTCATTACTTTCTTAATGTCTTTCTAGACTTCTCTTATTAACCCAATATCATTATTCAGTTAGGTGTTCAGTTACATATTTTCTTTTGATTCTGAACTCAAAGTGAGAGCTTTGGAAATACGGAGTAAATGGCTTGGGCCATGTTGGTCCAGGTAGAATAGGTAAGGGGGATTGGTTTGATTTATTTCTTAAGGTGAGAAATATTTTTTTCTTGTTTGTTTCCCCCCCCCCTCTTTAATGAAGTTCAGATTACTTTCTTCATCTTCAAATGAGGAAATTTTTCAATTTTAGGCTGAAGAGATAGCCATAGGAACTATAACCATAGGAATCTGTCTGTAAGCTGTTGTTCAGTTTTGTCGTTTCAGAAACGGGAACTTGTCTCTTCTTCCCAGTCCTCCTTTGACAATTTAGAAAGTGGAGAGCTGTCCTGTGTCTGAGGCCAGTGAGAGATTTACAGGCTTAGGGTTGAGCCTTCAGTCTTGCAGGAACTGCTGCTGTTTGCTCTGCTCCTGCTTTTATTTATGAAGTTTATAGGACCATAATTAAATGCAACCTCTCTGAAAGGAATGTTTTCAGGGATTCCTATAGTCAACTGGCGAGTTCATAAAAAAAAATTTACTGCTGTTAAAACGTGTTTCAGTTTGACTTCCTGCATCACCTAAAGATTAAATTTGCAATGCTGATGTGTTTTAAAAGACAGGAAATGCAGATAGGGTTCAGATAGTAACATTAATTCATCTGCCTAGCTGCTGTTTTGCTTTTCAGATGAAATACATATGCTAATGTCATTTGTTGTAAAATTAGACATATATCAACTGATAGCCTTTTCAATGTAAGCATGTTGTACTCGTACCAAAGTTTTGGATTTTGTGTCACATTTCATCAGTTTTTAGATATGGAAGGCTATCAAAACAAGCTCATTTCTGTTTTCTTTATCATTTGTAAATTGCATCTAGGTGGATATGAAAAACTGCATGGAAGATGCAATGAAATACAGGATAGGAGTAGGGTTTTTTTGAAGGTGTGGAAGCAGAGTGTGCGATAACTGAGCATTTATTTGCAGTTCTAATGAAACATGTTGATCATGTATTGTAAAGCCTTTTGTAGAGCTTAAGTTCTTACTTCAGAACTTTGACATGATTAAAGCCTTTAATCTTAAAAAATTGAAACCCCAGTTGCTGTATGTTGCATGTGTATTGCAGCGTGGGGATGGGCAGGGGGTTGAACTAGATGATCTTTAAAGGTCCCTTGCAACCCAAACCATTCTGTGATCAATTCTGGTTTTGGCATAAAGGCTTTCTGTTTTGTATGGAGGAGGAAATTACTAGTATCATATATTTTAGTCTTTCTGCTTACTGACATATCCGTAGACAAAGTGTATTTCTGGAACAGTAACTTTATTGATTCACGTATTCTTGCTTTAATATGCCACCTATACAAAACCAAGTTCATGTGCAAACAGCAGTTACGTAAAAGTTCTGAGGCTGTTCTGTAGCACAAGGAAGCCCAGCATTGACTGCCCATGCTTGGTGTAAGGCTTTGAGATTGTGATGGTTCCTTCGAGGTAAATTCAGCGCTTTCTGGAAGTGGGGAGGGGCAGACAGCTGTTGTGGACAAATGACTGTGAGCAATTATCTCTGATAGGAATGCAGTTTCTCAAAATGTAGGTTCTGTATTTAAAATATGATTAGATGGTATTAGCTATTTATGATGTGTTACACTTATTTTTTTAATGCCAAAGACATAAATTGGTTTGCATCTAGATAGAATCTCAGAACTTAATCCTCCAGGAGGTGAGGTGGGGAGGACTTAAGTGTTAACTCGTTTTAGAAGAATATTAGTAACAGAAGGTTATCTCTAAGAGTGGGGTTTGGGAGAAGGGCTTTGTTTTGTTTTGGGTGAGTAGGCATTGTTCATAAAATGTCTGATGCATGTGAACTTTAATGGTTTCAAAGAACTCATCTATGTGAAGGAATTTTCTCGTTCATGTGTAAGCCATAACCTGCTGGATTTTATTCTCAGCATTTTTAATAGGAATTGTTTGCCTAAAGGAATTTACTTATGTAATTGTTTATTACAGTTATACTGATACTTCTCCATCAGTAATAATTTTTGCAGAAGAGGAACATGTTAATATAGAAGTATTAATGATATAGAGCTGTCAATAGTTTCTTTATATAGGAAAGCTTTGAATTGGTTCACAAACTCTGGAAGAGCCAGCCATTCTCGCTGTCAGCTTAGTCAGCTTTGAGGTAAACTCAAATACTACTTTCCCACCTCCAAGAGATTTCCAGGATTAATGAATTTGAGATG